TGCTTGACATCATGGGTTATCAACGAAATGCAAATGAAAATCAATGAAACACCACTACATACCTATTCCAGAACACTGACACCACCATATGCCAGCAAGGCTGTGAAGAAACAGGAACTCTCATTCATCGCTAGTGTGAATGCAAAATGGTATAGCCATTCTGGAAGACAGTTTGGAGGTTTCTTTATCCATATGATACAACAATCATGCTCCTTGATATTTAGCCAAAGGAGTTGAAATGAAAACATGTCCACACAAAAATTTGCACAAAGATGTTTTATTTATGTATGTATGTATGTATTTATTTATTTTAATTGATGTATAGTTGATACATAATCTTATATTGGTTTCGAGTATACAATGAATTGGCTCAATAGTTACTCATATTATTAAATCCTCAACCCCACTATTGCAGTTACTGTCTACATAGGAAGATGTTACACAATTATTAGCTATATTCTCCATATTGTACTACTGTCCCCATGACCAGTTTATATTGTGACTGCAAATTTTTGTGCCCATTTATCCCCCTCATGCCCCCACCCAACCACCCCAACCCCTCCCCTATGGTAACTACCAGTCACTTCTCAGTGTTTGAGTCTAGTGATATTTTGTTCATGTTGTTTTGTTTTGTTTTGTTTTTATAGTCCACAAATAAGTGAAATCATGCGATGTTTGTCTTTCTCTGCCTGGCTTATTCACTGAGCATAATATCCTCTAGGCCCATCCATGTTGTTACAAATGGCAGGATTTCTTTTTTTTTAATTGGCTAAATAATATTCCGTTGTGTCTATGTACCACATTATCTTTATCCATTCATCGGTTGGTGGGCACTTAGGTTGCTTCCATATCTTGGCTACTGTAAATAATGTGACAATAAAAATAGGGACATATATATTATTTCAAATCAGGGATTTTGTTTCCTTCAGGTAAATTCCTGGAAGTGGAATTACTGTGTCACAGGGTACTTCTGTTTTTAGTTTTTTGAGGAGCCTCCATACTGCTTTCCACACTGGCTACAGCAATTTACATTCCCACCAACAGTGTAGGAGGGTTCCCTTTTCTCCACATCTTCACCAACACTTGCTTTTTATTGTCTTTTGGATAGTGGCTATTCTATCCGGTGTGAGGTGATATCTCATTGTGGTTTTGATTTGCATTTTCCTGATGATTAGCAATGTGGAACATCTTTTCATGTGCCTGTTGGCCATCTGTATTTCTTCTTTGGAAGAATGTCTGTTCAGGTCCTCTGCCAATTTTTTGATGCAGTTATTATTATTATTTTTTGGTGTTGAGTCATGCACATGGATGTTTATATAGCTTTATTCATAATTGTCAAAACTTGGAAGCAGCCAAGATTTATCCTTTAGTAGGTAAATGGATAAATAAGCTGTTGTACAAACAGATAATGGAATATTATTCAGTGCTAAAAAGAAATGAGCTATCAAGCTACGGAAGGGCATGGAGGAAACATAAATACATATTACTAAGTGAAAAAAGCCAATCTGAAAAGGCTACAAGCTGTATGATTTCAATTATATGACATTCTGCAAAAGGTAAAACTATAGAGACAATAAAAAATCTCTAGCTGCCAGAGGTTAGTTGGGAGGAAGGGATGAACAGGCAGAGCACAGAGGATTTTCAGGGCAGTGAAACTACCCTGTTTGGTGGCTACATGTCATTAATATAGTTGTCCAAACCCATAGGATGTACAACACTAATGCACAGAATGTGCTCTGGTGACGATGATGTCAATGTAGTTTCATCAGTTTTAACAAATGTGCCACTCTGATGGGGGTTAAGGGGGTAGTGTTGATGATGCACGGAGATGTGTGTTACACGGGAAAACTCTGTACCTTCCACTTAATTTTTCTGTGAACCTAAACCTGCTGTAAAAAATAAAGCCTATGTTTTATTGTAAAAAAGCAAACTTGTTAAATAAGAGAACTTCTATTCTTAAGGAGGAAAAGAATCACTGTTGGGAACATTATACCTGTTCCCATACTCTTGCTCCCTTGAGAAAATTGTCAAGTCTAACCTCCATCCTGGGGAGCAAGAATTACGGCTCAACAGTGTCTTCTCATTATGTGTGTTTACAGTCGGCCCTGGAGAAAGACACAGACAGGAGAGAGGGGACAAAAAAGAGAGAGAGAAAACAGAAGCCTTCCAGGGTATGTGAAACAGATTTTGAAGAAGGTACAGAATTTTCTTAGACATTTAAGAGGAAATGTGGAGACCCTTTTCTGCTACCAGTTAAACAAAAATTGCTTCTATTTGATTTGTACTTATCATTAAAGTTATGCCTCAGTGGCCACCTCTGCTTAAAAGTAATCTGCCTCAACAGCTGGACTTTTCTGAATATTGAAGAATGATTTTCTTTTTGCTCCCCAAAGGAGTAATGGATTTTGAATGTTCATTAGGCAAACATATCATGAGTACACAAAGCCAACACATACACAGTGATAGACCCTGTTTTATAAAATAAGAAAATAAAAAGGACAAAGCTGGTTTATGCCAGAAAGGCCCATATTTCCTCTCTATTCAAGAACTTACTTCCTTTTAGATTTTCTCTCCTCTGGATTTTCATCAATCCCAGGGACATGCTTCTTAAAAATAAAAAATGTTAGCAGATCCTGGATGCATCAGTTCCCTCAGCTCAGCAGAGTTCATTTGGTTACAGGCTGAATTGTGCTCCCCACCCACACACACACAATCATTCGTTGAAGTCCTAACCCCCAGTCCTGCAGAATGTGACTGTATTTGGAAACAGGGCCTTTAAAGAGGTAATTAAGTTAAAATAGAGTCATTAGAGTGGGCTGTGGACCAATCTGACCAGTGTCTTTATAAGAAGAGGATATTAGGACACGGATACCGAGGGAAGACGACGTGAAGACACGGGAAAAGGGAGCCTACAAATCAAAGGGAGACGCTTCAGAAGAAATCGGCCCTGCTAACATCTTGATCTCGGAACTTCTAGCGTCCAGAACTGTCAGAAAATAAATATCTGTTGTTTAAGCTACCCAGTCTGTGATACTTTGTTGAGGCAGCCCTCGCAAATGGATACAGCATGTAAGAGGAAACCGTGGTGACTCCATTCCTGCAGTGATTCTAGACAGAGACTTGAAAGAGTAGTTCATGAACTTGTTAATAGAATTATAAAGAACCTGTAGACTTTATGAATTCATTCAACAAATATTTACTGAGCTTATCCTATGCATCAGGTACTGAGCTAAATGGCAAAGGCAAAAAGATGAGCCCCTAAGTAGCTCAAAGTAAATAAGACCCCGAACTATCCTCAGGGAATTTACAGTCTAAAGAGGAGACAGGCACAGAAAGTATTCATTTCAATATGATGTGACCAGTGGTAAGATCTTGATATGCACAGGGTGCCATGGCTAAGGACCAAGGGCTGTGGGATTTCACTGGGATGGAGGAGGGGTGTCAGACTGGAGACCACATCTCACTTAGGTCTCTAGGGAAAAAAGTATGCCAGGTACATGAAGGAAGAGAGACATTTCAGTGATAGGAATACCACAGACAAAACAGGGAATGGGTAAGTGTCTAGAAAGTCAGGTGACAAATGAGAACTTCAGGGTTATCAGAGTTAGGATGTGTATGAGGGAGGGTGGCAGGAGATGTTAAAGAATCAGGGTCAGACTGCGAAGGGCTGGGCATACCAAATTTGGATTTTAACCTGAAAGCAGTGGGAAGCCACCAGAGATTTCTACAGAGGAAAGTCATGAGCAGACTTGCTCTGAGCATGGTCTCTCTAAGTAGTGTGGAGAATGAAATGACATTGGGGGAGGCAGGCTGCAGACAGACCCGACAGCAGGCAGGAAGAAAGACCCTGAACTGAGCAGTGGTATTGGGTGTGAAGAGCATCCTGTTTTAGAGATATTTCAGAGGTGGAATTGAAGGGGTCTGGAAACTTACATTCTGAGGATTTAAACTCTCCCACTTTCAGATGTGTTAATATAGTAAAGGTGCTTCCAACAGTAAAGCACTACACAATATTCACTTGTTTTTTCTGCATCAGATATATAAATATCATTGCTTCCTAAACATAGAGGCTTATTATCAACTTAATAGAATACACAGTGTTTTATTTACTTTTTAAGAAGTAAATTCAAAAGATGTATTTCCTTACTTGTGTTTTGTTTAAATCTGGGAAGGAAGATGTGCTCCTCAAAAAAAAAAAACAACACTATAATTGAATACAGTTATACATGAATATCTCATTTTACCTCCTTGTACAGCAAGTCTGGTATTTTTGTTATTCTTCCAAGGTGGAGTTGCTGGAAAGCTGCATATCTGAGACAATATAAAGCCTGGGAAAATACACTCACCTGGGTCTGAGTTTTTCATTAGCAACCTTGAGTAGTTTACTCAGTCTCTCCAGGCCTCAGTTTTTGCATTTCTAAAATGATGGAAAAATTCCTTGATCCCTAAAACTCCTTCTGACTAAAATTCCACTAGTCTTTTCTCCAAGAAGAAATACTGCTCTTGAATTTTAAAATGTTTTTAAAAAGGAGACTTTAAATTTTCTTGGAAAATATATAAATCTTATTAGATGCTTTAGAAATTCATTTTTAAAAAACGAAGCACCACGCACGTTTAAAACATTACCATTCTTGGGGGTACAAGGGCCTGAGGGAAATGTACTTAAATCTCTCTAGGTTCAACTTAGTCTTAGAGCAACACAACGAACAAACGATGCTTGTTCAAACAAATTTGAAGTTGAATAGGATAAATGCGACTGCAGGAAGATTAGCAACAAGCCAGACGATTTCCTTTTCCCTTCCTTAGGAAACTTCTATCTGTACATGAGAAAGGGTTCTTGATGCTCTGGAAGAGAAACAGGGAAATGGGGAGGGAAGTTTCCCTGGTTTCCTTACTCCCTACCTGCTGGGTCTGATTTCTTCTCAGGCTCTCACTGTCTGATAAGGAGCTGCTTCTCCCCCCTCCTCTCCCTCCCCCTCTCTCCTTCACCCCAAGTAGCGGTACTGTCCTAGCAAGTGATGCTGCTGGAGGCAGAAGACGAGCTCGGAGGAGGCGCCGCCGCCGCCTCCAGCGGGAGAGCCTTTCCCAGCACCAGCGCCCGCCTCGGCCCCCGGCTTCCTCCTCGCAGCCACAGCAGCTGCTCCCACGATTTGATGGTGGGCGGCGGCGGCGACTTGGCGTTGGCTCCCGCCTTTAACTGCTCGGCCTCGGGCCGCGCCGTTGTCGCCTCCCGCCTTCCCGCCCGGGGCTGCCGGAGGGGCAGCGGAGGCCGGCAGCCGGCGGCCCCGCGCTCGGAGCGCGGCGGGCGCGATGTCCACCAAGGTCAGGAAGAGCAAGGAGCAGCCGAGGGTGACCTTCCCCGCGCCGGACGAGGAGGAGGAGGGCGGCGAGGACGAAGGCTCGGAGCCGCAGCGCCGCCGGCGGGGCTGGAGGGGCGTCAACGGGGGGCTCGAGCCGCGCTCTGCGCCCTTGCAGCGGGAAGCGCATGGCTCCTGCCCGCCGCGCTTCTCCCCGGGACCCGACCTGTGAGTACCGCCCCGACAGCGGCGGGCGCCCCGCGACGTGTCTGGGAGCCCCCTAACCTCGCGCGGCCCCGCACAGCAGTTCCATTCCGGGAGACTTCACGCGGAGTGCAGACCTCCGCCGGCGGCTCGCCCCCTTGGTCCTGCCTTTAGAGGTGCTTGGGGGTGGCCGAAGGCGTGCCGGGGGCTCTACCGCGGGCGGAGGGCAGGGCACACCCCGCGGACGGACACAATGGACGCCAAGCAGGCTTTCCAGCAAGCAGACACTTTCTCCCCTACACCAGGGGACACGCACACTACTGCTCCATGGGCTGGGGACCTCTTGGAAATCGGACCCGGGAATCCCCGGGCTTACCCGGGGTCACCGAAGGGGGGAGTTAATTGGCCAGGGACGCAGTAGAACCCCGCCTTCCTCCCCGGCGTCCCAGCCTGGCGCCACCCTGTGAACCTGGGGTCCCTCCGACGTTCCCGGCGGGCCGGGCCCGGGCAGCGAGCGGGGAGAAGGAAGGGGACGGTGTGCCATGTAGAGTGTGGGTTGAAGGTTTGCCCAGTCGCCTAGTTTCCCGACGGTCCATTCCCGACGGGGGAAAAATTGGAGGCGAAGCCCCAGCGGGTTCCCGGGGGAGAGAGTGGAAGCAGGGTGGCCGCGGGAACCGCTTTAGTGGAAACTTGGGCTGTCGTTCCCAAGCGATTCAGGGTCAGTAGAAGTTTCCTTTTTAAAGGAAGGTAGAGGTCGGTGATCTAGTGTGTGAGAAAGCAACTTTTTCTTAATTTCCTGATCTTGGAAACAGCTTTTAATCAGCTGCGAGACGCAGAGAGCACGAAAACGAGGGTGGTTAGTTTAACAGGGTGATTTCTATATCTCTTGTCACATACCTTGCCGTGCCGCGGGGTTCAGTGTCTTTTTTAGGAAGCCAAGCAGACTTAGGTAGAGAACTTGGGGTCAGACGGCGCTGGCTGCCGTAGCCGGTGGGGCGGGGGAAGTGGTTCTCCAGGGAGCGGAGCTACGTTGGGCAGCGACCCCTGCTGCTCGCGAGCTGCCCACAGCGCGGGTGAGACCTCTGGAGTGACCCCGGACTGACCCAGTCGCCCACTGCTCCGCTAGCTCAGAGCCCGCGCCTAGCCTGGCAGGACTTAAGTGACTGGCAGTGGATCTCCTAAGGAAGAGTTCTGATTTAAAATGAACGGTGCGTCCCGTTGTGGTTCAGTTATTGCTGAAGATTAGCCTGGGGAAATGAAGGGAAAGTACAACCTTAAGAATTAGAGCGCCGCCAGCTTGCTTCTCCACTTCCGTAAGGTTTTAAAACGTTGTCCATTTTTCCCTTTGCCAATTTGATTTTTATAACCGTGCGCAATTTCTTGTGTCTTTAATTTTTTTTTCTTTTACCTTAAATCCAAACTAATTGGGACACCAGAACCGTCTGATCTAAGGAAGTAGGAAGGAGCAGAGATTACTCATTTTGCCTTCTGAAGTTTGTGGTCAATTATACAAAGCCCTGGGGCAACTACTGTTGTAGACTTGTTCGAATAGAACATCCTTCCTGTTTGCTACATATTCCAACAAGTAAATGTTGTGGTGTACTTATTTTGTAAAGCTGTTAAAAAGACTGTCGTTTATTAATGTCTATCTCCTTAAAGTGTTTCTTCTGGAGGTAGGGCAGCAAGCTCTCATGTTTACCTGAGGCCTGTCACAGAGATTAGTTCTTTATTCCATTTTTGAGTAGAACATGGCGACAGTTTAAAGCTCAGGAAGTGAACACAACAGCCCTAGGATGAGCTGAAACAGGGTACTCAATCTATCAAAACCCCGGGGTCATTTTCTGTAGGCAAAATAGGATAGCTGAGTTTCAGATTCAGCCAGGATGCTAAGGATAGAATCCCACTTTTACCAAAAAGATTCCTCAGGGTAATCCTGTTGCTCATTTCACTGCTCCATGCTCCACTATTCAATAGGGAATTTTAAACAGACTGACTTTGAACTAAAAGTGTCATCCACTAAAACACTAACAAGATTTTGTTTTATCTTTTGATAGAATTCTGCATTCAGCCATTGATTCAAATCAAGACTTCCTTTAGCCCAGTTGTTTGCAAACCTAGGACCAAGCAAAGGTGTGATTACCTCATTCTCAAAGTCTTTCAGTTATTAAATATTTCTGATGACTCCAAAAAGACAGTTGAAGGCAGTTCTCATGAATTTTCATTCAAAGACATTCCTAAAACATTTACTTGTACGAAGTGGAGTCTAGGTACAACAAGCCACAAAGATGAGTAAGATAACTTTTCTGCATTCGTTTAAATTCTCATGAGGGAAAGGTGGAAATGAAACTGTGTATGAACAATTATGCTATAAAATTACAGTAAAATAAGTACCATAAAAACATACACACAAGGATAGACCACAAAGGGTCAAATGCAAAGGAGAGATGGAAACCTAAGATTGCGGAGAAATCAAGGAAACCTTTATGGGCTTTAAAAGATAGAATAGGAGACAGAGGCAAAGTGGGTAATTAATTCAAGGCCCCCCCCCCAAAATGCAAGGTATGTTTAGGGAACATTAATTGAGTTTGGTTGGAACATACAGTATGTGTAGGAGAGCAGTGAGATTTGGGTGGATGTATTGGTTTGGGGCATTAATGTGAAGGATCTTGTATGCCAGGAGGAGGCAATAGGGAGCCATTGATTGTTTCAAAGGAGCAACAGTTTGATCAAAGGTACTCTAAGAGCTGGATGGATTGAAGTGGCAATAGCAGAATGTGAATAAATAAATTAGGGGGCTATTGTAGCTGTCCAGGCTGAGATTAGGATCTGTAATAGTGTGGTACTGTTAAGGGGGAAAGGAGAGAGATTAGAAAAGAGAGAACACAGAATCTATGGGACTTTGCAACTAACGCCCTTGAGAAATTTAAAGAGAAAGCAGGGTCAAAGGTGACCTGGTGGTTTTGACATATATAGCCAAGATAGTTTGTGTCATTGTTGAATGAAGAGGAAGATCTTATTTTTCAGATAACTGTGACAGAAGCGTCCAGCAGAAAGATGGAAATGCAAGTTTATAGCTTGGGAGAATTTAAGTCTACTGTCTGACAGAAATTGTTACAGAATTGTGTAATATATGTTATTACCCAAAGAAGGGGTGTAAAGACAGAAACAAAGAGAGCCTAGCCTCTCTTTTCTGAGGGAGAATTTTTTGTTTAGAGAGTAGAGAGGAAAAACAGCAATCAAAGGACGCAGGAAAAGATGAAAGAGCAAGTGGTACTAGGCAAGACTGCTGAGAGAGAAGGGTTTCAAGCAAAGGGAACGATTGACCTGCACTTGGCAAGTATTTGATAAATCAAGTGAGAAACTTATGAGTTTACTTTTAGTAAGAAGAATCAATCCTTTTATGTATTAACATATATACACAAAATCATTAGATTTCTCAGCAGTGTTATCTTTAACAGAGAAACTCTCCTAGCAAAGAGGATCCTGTTTAGTTTTTCTTCAGAGAAAGGGCTGCCAAAAATTTGTCATAATAAAAGCAGTAATTTGTGTTTATATAATACTTCGTGCTGGAACTGGGCAGGGATCCCCCTGTTCTTAGTTGCTGCCCTCCCCTGAACTCCCATCTAGAGTATTTCTGTTTCTATTTCTCCAAAAATTTCATACCGTATATTTCTTATAGGGGTGAGGGTTGTCGTTTGATCATATCAGTTAGAGGTTAAAGATCTGGGGGAAAGGTTTAAACCTACACCTTATACAGACTTTCAGCCAATTCCCTCATTTTTAGCTCCTGCCCAATCTCTAGTTTCTAAGATTTCTTCTGTCTTCAATTTCTGGGCCTTTTTTTGATACTGAGCAGAGTGGGTCAGCTTGCTTTTTGTTACAGGTGCTCCAGTTAAACCGTCCTTCTTGCCACTAAATCATTTACCAGTCTTCCATCTCACCTTCTTTCCATTCTGATATATTGTAGTGGGGTTACAAATATCTTTTGGTTTCATGGAAGATGAAATCTGTGTTGTCATTCTTTGTTCTTGTTGATTAGGTGGGTAATTTTGGAGAGGAGAGGGGTGAGAAGGACCTTTATTCCATCATTATGAAATCAAACATCCATATGATTGTGTTTTAGGGATTCACTGAAGTCTAACCATGACTGATCCTGTTGGGCAAATGGTAGGTAGCAATCTATACAGTCTGATATGAGGATCCTCTGGAGTCCCTCATATCACAAAGACTAAAATCACTTTAGTCCCACACTTCCTAAATTTAACTAACATAGAATATTTTGAAGAAAAATAGAATGAGTTGGAAAGGACTTCATATAGTTAAGTGTCTTCTTTTACAAATTGAGAGACTGAAGCTGAAGCTTGACATCTAATTCACAGCCGCCCCAGGTCATCTGAAATTTCCATGTTCCTAGAGCTGTGGCATTCACACTGTGCCCTCCTTTGGTTCAGCTTTTCTCTCTTCCTCAAAGAAATTTAAAAATGCATTTACTCCTGGGAGGAACAACACAGGAAAATACTAATTAGTATTTATTCATTTATGAGTTATAATTAATTCATTTCAATCTGACTGCTGATGGGAGATCAACTTGAGAATGTTTGTAAGCTAAGTAGGAGTAAGGGGATTGTGAGGGGTGGAAGAGGGGAAAAGGGTAGCTCAAGGCACAATGGATGCCCCTGCCAATGATCACTTATGGTTTTCTGTTTTCATAATATAAAGTTCTGGACCAGAACTGGAGCATCATCTGATGACAAGGTTAGAATTTTAGGGATGTTTTTATTTCTTTGCAAAGATATTAAATGGTTGTCTCTCCCCTCATCCCCCACCCCTGATCTATCTCCATCTCTCTCTCTCTCTCAACTATTCTTGGTCATTGAGCTTTTCCTTTGCCTACAACATCCCATAAACCTGTACCCCCAGTTAACATTAGGCAACACCGCAGGAAATGTAGTGGGGGGAAGAAAACTTTTTCCTGAGCTCTGGTGCCCTTGATAGGAAGGAAAGCCTGAGTTTCCTGGCTGGGG